CATTGAGATATTTCTCTGAACGAGCCCCCGCGTTCATTCGTACTACGTGTATTTCCACAATGCATCTCCAGTAAGGCAATCAGCCATATATGTTGCTTGATCGGCTCAGCTCATTTGCGCGACTTTCTTTTGTGGAGCGTTTGCCTAGTCTCGAATCAGATCCCAAATTGGGAACAGTACCAAGGGCTAGTAGTCGAAATTACTAGTACATCACGCTCTTAATGCACGTCTACATCTGCCTCGTCTGTGTTGAGTAGTCATTTTCTCTCTCCATTTTGTCTCAAAGCAATAAAAATATATGGATCCACTTCGTTCACGCCTGGACACTCTCGACGACATCGAAGCTACCAGTTCTGTTGGATTCCGTTATAACGCCTTGCATCGACTTTCATGACCTCCCACAATAGCCATTGGTACTTCGGTCATATATTCAATTATTTGAGATCTTCTCTATTCTGGCAAGATCCCCATTGCTTGAGTGGCAGTGAAAGTTGTTCAGAAGCAAGCACGTTGAGTAACTCAGCAACACACTACTCACACCAACACTGCCCGACTGAGTCGGCACGCATTTCTGCCCAGGGCAGCACTTTGAAGAGGAGCAAAATGTGGGACAATTATCGCTGTCAGTGTCACTGGCAGATATTGATGCTGTCAAAGCAGCAAGGACAGCGAGGACGAGGGAGAAAACGCATTTTTTGTGAGGATGTAATATGGGATCAAATAAATCTGAAGGGGACGGTAGGAACACGGCTTGCTTTTATGTGTTCAAATTGTTCTGGCAGAACTTCACGGCGATGGTAGGAAGAATGCATCTACCTGAAATCCTCTTTCGAACAAATGATATCTGCAATGCCGACAGAAAATCGACTTGCCCTTAGGCTATTTCTATCAGCAGAAGAACTCTAGGACACGATGGTAATAATGTGCATTTGCCTTGATGTTGGTCCTCGAGACACATGAAGTCAAACGCAGCAAAATTTGCAGAACATATAATTGACAACCCAGACATCCAAGCCGTGCTTTTGCGGCTTAGACCTCAGCGTAAATTATATCAAGTTATAAAAAGTGTTCCAATAACGAAACCATGGCTGCTAATTCTCGGTCACAAATGAAGACAGTACCATTCCCGAGCATAGATGATCTCTTACCTGGAGCTGGAGCCACTTCTCGCAGACATCTTTGAATGAGTAGCTTCTGGATATCACCTCATACAGTACGATGTACAAGTGATCACCAGCGGCTAGTTACTCCACTACAAAAAGTTACAACCACAGACCAGACCCAGCACATAGGACAAATAAGGCTAGCGGGTCACGTCGAGGAGATAAAACAAGTGCAAATATGATCTATAATGGCAAATTCAGTGTCGCGCACCAATCATTATCGCCGGAATGAATACCACCGGGAAGAGTATTGCCTTATAGTCGAATCTGGTGAAAAGCCAAACAGTCTTGAGGTGGCGTAGCGTACTGCGCAATGTGGTCGCTGCAAAGCCCTGTGAAAACCGCCCAATTGAACTCACCGGATTTTGCCGAATTGCCGTTGATGATATCCACAATCCTTGAGACTCAGTCAAGTGGTTGGAGAACAGCGCGCGGCCCCAAACGACCTAAGGACTCTGCTCAAGGTAATCACATAGCTTATGACCCATTAATTGAGATTGCTCACAATTTAGACTGCGCAGGCTCAATCATGTGAATTGTCTACTCTACATGGGAGGACGAACACCAGCCCTACAACACCTCCAGCCCTAGACTAGAACAATTGTGAAGTGTACAACATGTCTCATTTACCTCGCGTGCAGATATCGAATTTTGTTGCATGGAGGAGCTCGAGTCTATATTCCACTGGGAGATCTTCCAGCCCTCCCACCGCCTGCAATTTGAGTCTTACACCCCGCTTGATATTGACGAAGATGAGCTTCCTCTCGCATCTGTCGATTCTGTCCCTTTACTTGACTCCCATGAAAGCCTAGGCTGAGCACGGGACGAAGACGAGGGAACATCGCCACCAAAGTCTTCGACCGATGGGCTGAGCGGATGGGTCGTGGGTACCAAGAAACGCATCCCCTCAGTCGCATCAGAGATACTGGGTTCGGATACGCCTGTTAGGAATCGAATAAAGATAGGGAGATATGGACGTTGGTTTGTACTGCGAGAGATGTCGTGCATGGTAGGTGGTGTCGTTCGAACACCTTGGCTAATACTTCGTTAGTTTAGCGGATGTCGCAAAGGAACTTGAACGTTACTGATCTTCTGAGTGTATCATCACTCTTGGACTGCGGCTATAGTAGCAGCCTAGGGACGACCTGTGTAGGCGGTTCCTTTCGCCTGACGCTCGTCTACTCCCTCTGATCTACCGTCATCCACTCCCACCATAACCACTTGGAATGGATGCGCTTGGGACACACAAAGGACATATATTTCTCCTATCGACATATTCATCATATCATCTCGGAGTCTCGGACTTCTGGCGATCAATCTCCAGCCAAAGAATGTAGATGTATATGAAAGCGACGATTTCACGTTCAAACCATCTCGATCATATCATACCAATGTGTCGCCGTCCGCGTCAAGTCCGGTTGATATTCCGGTGTTACCAGTGCACTCATTGACGCCCAGAACTCACTGTCCCTCAATGCCTGCTGTGACCTCATACCCCCATCTGCGTCAGGCATGTTTGAATTCTAGCTTGCACGATAGACAGTGTATAGATATAGTAACGATTGTATTGCACTATGGCAATAAGACCAGGGGCATTCGCTCTGAAATTAGATGGCCCATTCAGCTTGTTTCCTGCATGCATAATACCATGTACATTATCTACACTGCTCTCATTCGTAAAAACAATCTTATTCTGTACTCCGACGAAGTAAAATGAAGTTCATATCCATCCTGAGCTCTCAGCTAAGTTCGACAGACCTTCAGTGAGGATTGAGACAGGAGCTTAGGTGATGGTGAACTCAGGAGAAGCATTTCCGGAGTAGCCGGCAACTAGAAAAACTGGATGTCAGAAAGGCACGCGACCAAATGACAAGTGATACGTACAGACAACAATAGCATTGCTGCGAGGTGTCATGTCCTGAGGAACAGTCACCGAGACCTGACCATTGATGATGGGGACATTCACAGCGAGGGGGTGCTCTGAATTACTTTTCAATAACAGTATTCAGAACACGATTACGACACAAGCATACCTGTATCCGAAATCTGGGACATATTTTCCATGTATCCCAACAGCAGGACAGCAGTAGAATTATGTTCCCCCTCAGGGGTGTTGTTTGTCTCCCAGAGCACAGTCTGCGTGCAAGCAAGTTCCCAAACTGTCTTACGAGTAGGGTTGATGATTCAGAAGACACCACCTTGCGCTTCAATCTAAAGTTCACATCTATTGCAACAAATAGCGCATATTTCCATCTGCTCAGGTAATGTATGAGCTCAGCAAAATCAGGGAAAGATGACCAACATCTTACCTGGTAAATAGAGGCTCCTTCTCCCAGTCTAGCGGAAGATTCTTCCCAGGCTGTGGGCACGCGGGGCAGAGAACAGCTAACTCTCCTTCGGCTGTAGCATTGACACCGGCAGGGTCGTGTCCCCTTCCTCCGCGGCCAAGTTGTTTGAGGTTACGCCATTGGCGTACCATCCGCATGAAAGCGGAATACTGATCCTAGAATATATCATTATCAGACAGTTGCAGGAATAGATTAAAATAAATACTCACCCTGATCACTACTTACCCAGAATTGTCAGTGCGCCTTGCGAGGGAGTGATAAAACTCGTAAGCAGATACCTTGCTTTCAAATGATAGAATATGAAAATGCTGCAGAACCGTAAAGGTTGCTGCAGTCCGAGGCTCTGAGACTGTGGCTGGATACCACCGCATACGTAATAGTTGTTTGTACTGAATCTGAGCTGAAGCGCAGCCACAGAAGTCCAGTGCAATTTCATGAATGCCATCGAGCCCGATGACCACAAAATCATCACCAGCAGCGGGAGAAGGTTTGTAGCACCTTTCTCCTGGGTTATGGCCAAGTTGTACTTGAACGCCAAGCTGTTTGAGTGTGATACACTGAAAAAAAGACCTGTTCCATATCTGACAATGATCAGTCACATGTTGACGCCAAAATAAGTGTGAAACACACCTCAATCCTATGCAAAGGATGATATACGTGGTTTTGAAGTGTACATTCGCGGCAGAACATTTGAGTGCCATGACAGTCAGAGCATTGGAATTGAGGCGATACTGCACCACATGAACAAGTGACACCCTCGGACCCACGTCCATTGAGGCGCATCATTTCATCCAGGAAGATTGGACGTTGTGGAATCCAGGCGAGCAAAGGTCTATCCTTAAGTCTGATAAGTTAGCATGCCCAAACGAACATCAAATGAGAACACCCACCACTGCAGTCTCTTTGCGCTTCTCCGTGGAACAAATATCAACAATGTTGTCTGTAAGTGTTTCATCCTCAAATTGAGAGTCGCTGGGATGCTCAACACAGTCATCTATGAAAAATACGTTGTCATTTGATGAATTTTCGGGGGGAATTCCCGCAACATAGTGTGTTTGCAGTCGTGTGCTCCCTTCAGCGGTAATTTCCGCAGCACGAAGTCGTAAAAGATGAGGTTCAGGGTTGATAGAGACGGGGACAAAGACCTCCCGTTCAAGTGCAGGCCTCTTGGGGGGGCGACCACGGGGCATTGTGCAATGTGGTTAATCTGTCAGCTCAGGTCGGGCAGTCAGAGGATCCTCCATTTGTAATTGGAGGATCCCGCCAGTATATAATAAAGGACAAATTTGTCCCTCCTCACCCACCTCGTGAATCATGGCAACACCATCGAATGATAATGCCCCCCCACCGGCCACCGTTGAATACTTGTTGCGCCCCCGTTGAAGTGAGCCAATTGAAAGTTATATCTTGCCACGCACCTGACATTACAAAACAGACCGCAATCCGCCCCCAGCACATGTGTCTTGGCAAATTTGTTCATACATAGTGCGATATAATCAAACCCCAAACAGTGGCCCGATTTTCACGCCTGTGCAGAAGGACTGGTTGAAAGATCATATACCACAGTATATGCAGTGGCCTCCGACCTCAGATGAGACGATCACATTAATACAGACCATGATTATTGATTTCGACCGCATGTGGCCACTTCACCAGAAATTGTGGCCCGGGTTGAATATTCACATTTTGCTGAGTGACAGCATGCGTGCCAAATTGATGGCGGAGATGCTGATTCTTCGAGCAGTAAGTCAGCTGTGCACGTAATATGCACTATGACTGACCTTGATGCAGAATATCAAGAGCCACATGCTGTGGACAACCCGACGTAATCTGCGTCGTGAGAGGAATCGAACGGGAATTGAACTGCAGAAATGGTTCTGGTACTGGGGCGTTGGGCAAGCTTAGAAGCTTGGTAGATAGTACTAGAGAATCCACTTACCTGCTGAGGCCATACTTGAGAGCTTGAACGTGATTGATCACTGATCAATGATCCCCAATTCCGATGTTACTGGGGAAGCTGTGATGGATTTGCCAAGATTAGTCAGCCGGTACACCTGTTTGGTGTGGATTGTTACTAATACCTGGCACCTTTGTAGTCGCCATTTCCCAAATCCCATGGAAGTCATCCTCCATTTCTTGGATGTCCGACCCTGCCGGCCTATGGAGTATATATTCGGGACGTGGTGAGTGATACATCACCATCTACTCAAGGTACTCACTGAACTCGCTATCATGACTCAGAATTTGCCTTCCTCCAGTGTCTTTCCCTCGATGATCAGAAGGCACTGTCTCAGGCCTTAGACATTGGCACAGACACGGGCACCGATGGTGATACATCCAATGGTGAATCCATTGATTCTTTTATATTTTCATTACTCACGTAGCTTCGGCAATGTTACAGATAACATCACCTTCAGAATAGGCCTGGGCCCTGCCACTGGCAGCACCGAAACGGCATCGGCCGCTCTTCCCGCTGTCTCTGATGACCCCCCTGCTACAACCATTGACAGTCTCAGGGAAGCTGCACCAGTTGCTTCTCCTGGCGCAGCTGCTGCCTCTAGTGCTGGCACCGCTCCTACTTCTGCCCCCGCAACTGCACATGCTGCTGCTCCCACTGTGGTTCCTGCAGGAAATGTCACTGTCTATGTCGATTATGAGGAATATGACTCCTCTGATGACGAAGACGCAGCCACTGCAGCTGCCGCACTTGCGAACGATTCCACGTTGATTCATTACCGCAATACCTACTTCAATGTCCCAGTTGACGCCACCCCACCGCTCTATTATGTGACTCGAGGTCACTACATTGGCATCTTTTCAGGCTGGTGAGCTGGATTTTCCGAATTTCTCATGTCTAGTAGCTCATTTCTTCATGGTAGGGATGCAACCGGTCCAAAAGTGCTCAGTGTCTCTCGAGCCATCTACCACAAGGTGGATTCCATCGAGCAAGGCATAAACATCATGAAGGGTGCAATTGATCGTGGTGATGCTTCGCAGGCATTGTAACACAGTACTAGTGATGATTATTTAGTGAATTTCATGTATGTCCATAGCTGTCGCAAAATGAACGGTCTTTCTTGAATGTCGGTGTGCTTCGTCTGATCAAAACATATTGCAAACAAGTATTACACTACTGAGATTGTAGCAGCATACAAGCGCCGTGCCCATCAAGAACATTAAACTTAAGATATAAACCTGCCCTGTGGGAGTGAGATCAATATTCGTAGAGTTCAATTTTGAAGGACGGTAAGAGAATGGTAGGATAAATTCACATAAAAATCCAAATTAATCTCCTACATGAAGCTTGCCATTCAAAACTCCTACGCATATATCGAGTGCCTCAATTGCAACTGACTTACTTTCAACTCACTTTTATGCACATGGCACGACCACGTCTACACAACACTAAAGAAGAAAAGGCAGAAGCTGCACGCACTTATAAACGAGCTTACTATGCACGGTACTTCACTCACTTTACTATCATTTCTCTTAATGATGGTGGACCCACTGAAACAGTCATCGCGATAAGCTATGTGCACAAAAAAAGGAGATATACAAGGGGGAGGAAGATACTAGGTGAGATACATACCAACCACTTGAATATCTGAACATCTGAGTCGCACAAGTTCTAGGCTGTGCAGTAAGCCTGCCACTGTAGGAAGGCCACACTCATATTATATGGCTGAGGAGAAGATTGAAGCCGCACATCGGTCCCGGAAAGCCTATTATGCTCGGTATGTCATTGACATATGAATGTTTCAAACCATTTGAACAATCGATGCCTAGTAACCGTGAGGAGATCCGTATCAAATGTCGGAACAAGTCAAAGTCAAAGGTGTACGTTGCTCGCTCATCTATAATATAGTTACTTACCTGATCACCCAGCTTGGACAATACCAGTAACCTCAAACCAGTGCGCTCAGTGCGAGATGTGAACAGACGCAAAAACAAATGGTATGTTGTCTTGTTCATTTCGGCAGCACCTCATAAGGCTAAATGATCTTGATCAAGGGCCAGGCTATGCGATGACATCGACGCCAGCCTGCAGTCCTTATTGGGTCGTCAAGCACAGCATTGGTTGAGGGCCTTTGTGAGCTCTTCATAGCAAACCCAGATAAGCCAGATTCATTGGATGTCCTGCGGTTGGCTCACAATGGGTTGGAAGACCTCCTGCTGCATGCACAAACTTTAGAAAATGATGTTCTTGAGAAATGTGGGACAGGGCAGGACCTCAGTCGGGCACATAGTTCTGTGTCTAATGTGTGCAGGGTTCTGGCAGACTTGGGAGACGTGTTTACTCATGCCATGTTAGGCGTAGACTCCCTAGTTGAAGCACATGAGCAGCATAGACTACACCATCAACTTAAATACAACTAGGTACTATAGAACTTAATTCCCCCTTTTGAAATCAGACATCAGCGACAATCAGTGCGGAAAAGTCCAAACGGAAAATTGTATTGCTGTTACCCATTAACCTTGGCATCAAACGTGACGGAACCATATTTACAAAGGTATGTTATGACGAGGTTTTAATTAATTATCATACGTTATGGAATGCTAAATGTAACACGAATAGATGGCACCACATACATGGCTGACGCAGGAGCAACTGGCCTTCAATACAACTTTTGAGGACAAGTACCTCGAATGCCAAAAGAAGGGGAACTATACCACTTTTTGGCAGCCCTTCTTCAAACAATGGGAAGAGCGATGGCCCGCGAGGGCTTCCTTGTTTCCAGGTATTCCTATGGATCAAGCTCTCACTGCGGCTCAATTAGAGGAGGACGACAAATTCAGAGCTGCACTTCAGAAGGTCTGTTTCTTATTATTTTTCGCGCACATTATTGGGGACTTACATCACATCCAGCGCCTGATTGTCAAATTCCGCAATGATTATGGTAATTCAAAGCCTGGCCGCAAGGCAGCTGTGGCGGGCAATTCGGCTGTCCACAAACTTCTCTCCAATATTGTTAAAGGACCCACGACTGGTCGGAAACGTCCTCTCAAGGAAACTGAAGTCTACGCTAAAAAGTACTATGCTACTCGAGTCCAGGCCAGTGTTAAAGATGAGCTCGATGCCATCAAAGAACAACCCAACGCCCCCGATCCCAAGAAGACGAACATTCGAGTGGTTCGAAAGCACGTTGACCGATGCTGGGAGAATGAGTCTGTTGAGGTGAAGGAAGAAATATCTCAATTTACAAGAGAGATGAGGGAAGAAGCGCATGAGGCAGCAAAGGGGAGGAAATTATCCAAGGTGACTGATGACCTGTAAGTGTTATCTTCGCACCTGTTCCTTTGCTGAATGATGAACAGAATTATACCGAGACTTACGGAAATTCTCTCAACCTTCTTCGGAGAGCTTCATGAGGCCACAGGATGGACTTTCAGTGTCTTGCTCAGTGGCCCTGACCCATCAAATGAAGGTGCGATCGACATAAGCAGCTTACATGTAGGGTCAACAAAGCTCGGTAACCGCTTTAACCACGTGTTTTCAAAGTTCAACGAGAATGTTATGCTGCCCTACTATGAGTTTGTTTCTCATGTTTTCCGTATGTATTCAACTATTCAATTTTTTTAAACACTGTGCTAATGATATATAGCTGAAGCTGGGACTTCAAATAAAACAGTTGCCCAGAGTCTTGAGTGTGAAGATCTCCGCATTTCTGCCGCTCCAGACGGTATTCCCACAAACAACGATTCTCCAACACCTACAACTGTAGCACCTGATACATTACATGGTTCACACCCTGCATCCTTACAGCCAGACTCGGTATCTAACTTCCCTTCCACGCGCCTAGCGCAAGAAGAGGTAGTCCCTGCACCACCTGAAGAGGATTACTTGGATTTTTTTCGACACCTGCCCCCCGCTCCCCAAGACAATGAGATCGACCAACAGATGAACATGCTCCTCTCCATGATGGAGGGCTATGTACCCTTCTGTCCACCACTGCTAGCACCACTCACTTTAGACCCTATGTCTGCCTCCACCGCATTTCTCAATCTGGATTCAAATCTTGAGAGTTTTGATGAGGCCCTCAAATCCATGCAGTCCCAGAAAACCAACACGGGAATGGTCTGTTCTCCTCCCCACATTCGTTATAAGTTCGACAGTCTAGTTAAATCATCTTTACCCATGGTGACTGCCTCTACCACACCCACTTTGACTCCTTCCCCACCTTTTACCATGCCTGCCATCACTCCTTGCACCACGCCGGTCGTCACACCTTACACCACACCTACTATCACCCATTCACCTGCAACTCCTTTTACCACGCCCGCCATCACTCCTTGCACCACGCCGGACATCACACCTCGCATTACACCGGTCGTCATACCTCGCACCACACCCGCCATCACCCATTCACCTGCGGTCGGGTCTTCCACCACACCTGCTACCACACCCATGCCAGTTGCACCCACAACTACCATACCCGCTACCACACCCTCGCTAGCTGCACCCACAACTATCATACCTGCTACCACATCTTCCTCGCTAGCTGCACCCACAACTCTTGTAACACTGGGAACGACGCCTCCAGAGCTTATTTTTGGGATGGGAGCCAATGCTCAAAACCCCAGCAATTTTGTAGATGAACGTCCAGCAAAGCGTCAGAAACGGGCTTCATGCGCACGTGCAGGAGAGACAGATCTGCCACAGGCTGTCTCCTCCGGCCGAGGGAAACAACAACGATTTCAATCCACTCGAGCTGCTGCCGCCAATGCAATTGGTTAAGCATTGGTTGAACTAATAATGTATATAGCATATATCTTGAAATTTAATTGTCTTGAGTGAAAAAGTACCAATGCTGACTTCAATGAGCGGCGTGATTGACTTAAGCTCTCCAAGCCACCCGCAAAGTGCCGAAGAACTGTACAGTATTACCTCTCTGTTGTGGGCTGATCACGGGCAGATTAATCAGCGAAAGCGAAGAGATTTCTAATAGAACACATGTACAGCGAGCACTACACACTACGTGAACAACACAAAATATATGCTTTAACTGATGTGCCTACAAAAGCGCGATTGGTGCGGCTCTTGCAACACAGGCTCAATCATCCTGCAAGGCGCACATATTGCGCTCATGAAGGATGCAACAGTTCCAGAGCTGTTGGATGTTGCGCCGGCCGCTACAGCCTGCAGCAGGGATGAAGCCAATGCTGGATTGGGTGAAGTAGTTGTGGTTGGTGCAATATCTGGGGGAGGAGTTAGTGCGTCGATAAAAACCCTGCCTCTAAAACATGGCATCGATGTAAGGCAGCACCAAATGGTAGGAAATTGGATGGTAGATCTGCAAGGGTGTTATTAAAATGATATTCAACCAAAGGAGGGAATAAGGGGTTGCCCCGTGCATACGGGCATTTACTGGGGGCCAGCACAGAGGCATTCTTCTCATTGAAGTGTGATGGCGTGTCGGGAAAACAGTGCACGTTGATCGATCTCTATCACTATTCACAGGTGGCAAATATTAGAGTCTCCTTGTCCTGCAAAATATCACCCCAATTAGAGTTCGTCTTCGAGTGAGATAACCGAGACTACATTGTCTGACGAAACGAGTAGCTCGAAATCTGACACGAAGACAAGACACAAACGATCTGCGAAAAAACGCAGGAGTAAGTCTAAGAAAGCTTTGAAAAAGAAAAAGCACTGAGGTCCAAGCCATGCATTGTCATCGATGGTGAGATACAGGTAAAAATTGGAAGACCCGGGACATTCAGCTAAGTTCTGTTCAGTTCTTGTACACCCAACCTAGCTCTCAAGCCACCCGCAAACTGCCGAAGAACTGTACATACCTCTGCGTGGGTAAATGTGCTAAATAAAACCCTGCATATAAATATATTGGCTAAATAAAGTCGGCTGACACAGAAAGAACCAAGGAACAATCGAAAGAACGGAGGAACAACCGAAAGAACGGAGGAACAATCAAAAAGAACCCAGAGAACCAGGAACAGGCTGGATGAAAGCATCATTTTCGGATTCACCAGTGATTCACCAGTGATACATCAGCCTACTACTGCCTGTAAGTACAGCAATTAATGTATTACATTTCTGCTACCACTGTAAGCTAGGTAATGTATTATTATCACAGTATAGCCTGATTTTATGGAAATTATCATGAATTAGCAGACCCTTCAGTCATTTTTCATGTAGAACCCCTGCCCTGGATGTGCCAAAAGGTCGTAGAATCATGGCTAGCCAGTCCTCAGCCGGTGCATGTAGAATAAGTGCTGGCCGGTGTACTATCTCATTATCACTTGAGTATCATTATTTTATGTAGGATAGGTACTGGCCGGTGTATAGTATATAACCATCTCTTTTGTCCTGTATGTAGGATGAGTGCTGACCGAGATATCATATGACATATACTAGCCATAGGATCAAGCTGGCTGGTATATGTAAGATATATCTACTACAGTCTGATTTCATTAGTAGACCGGCCAGCTTGTATCTACATGTGTAGGAGCTCAGCTGGCCAGTTTGGAGTTCTTAAGTCAATACTGGCCAGTGAGGCTCTGCAGTAAGTAGACCCATGGCTGGCCGGTCTGCTAATACTTCACTAGCAAACCGGCCAGTGTGGGTCTACGTATGTAGGAGCATGGCTGGCCAGTTTGTAGTCCTTAAGTCAATATACTGGCCATTGAGTGTACTAACCATAGGATCAAGCTGGCTGGTATATGTAGTCATTAGTAAACCGGCCAGCTTAAGTCTACGTATGTAAGGGCATGGCTGGTCGGTTTGCTAGTGAAATATTAGCAAACTGACCAGCTTGGGTCTGCATATGTAAGAGCATGGCTGGCCGGTTTGCTAGTGAAATATTAGCAAACCGACCAGCTTGGGTCTGCGTATGTAAAAGCATGGCTGGCCAGTTTGCTAATATTTCACTAGCAAACTGGCCAGCTTGTGTCTCCATATGTAAGAGCATGGCTGGCCGGTTTGCTAGTGAAATATTAGCAAACTGGCCAGCTTATTGCTGATCAATTTTGTACAATAATTATATTAACTTGTCAAGACTTGGGCGAGAATTGAACCATCAGTTGATGAGGTATGCATACCAGGCAGCCTAGTTCCTACATATGTAGACGAAAAAAGGCCAGTATACTAATGAAAAGTGATAATTTAAGAGCTCTACACTGGCCAGCCATGCTCTTACATACATAGACTTAAGCTGGCCGGTTTGCTAGTGCAATATTAGCAAACTGGCCAGCCATGCTCTTACAAACGTAGACACAAGCTGGCTGGTTTGCTAGTGCAATATTAGCAAACTGGCCAGCCATGCCCTTACAAATGTAGACACAAGCTGGCTGGCTTGCTAGTGAAGTATTGGCAAACTGGCCAGCCATGCTCTCACATACGTAGACCCAAGCTGGCCAGTTTGCTAATATTTCACTAGCAAACCGGCCAGCTTGTGTCTCCATATGTAAGAGCATGGCTGGCCAGTTTGCTAGTGAAATATTAGCAAACTGGCCAGCTT